GTGAAAGTGAGGGTTTGGCAGGTCAGCAGTTTAACCTCCGAGTCTTTCCTCTCGCAGGAAACAGAAAAAGGAAGTGGAATCTAGACTCTGAAGCTCTATTGACGGCTCTGTTATTTACAACGCTGATAAAAATAATCCTGGTGCTGCTCGTCTGAGAAACGGGTCGGACCGGGCCTCTGCCAGCAGCCTGTGCCGTGGTTTTGGCTCAGGTTCAGACGGGGCGTGTTTGTGTTTTGAGTCTTTTAACTCGTTCATTAAGGACCTCGCTCCTCTAACCATGTGGATGATGAAGTCACACATGAGCAGGAGGATGAGTGTTCTCTGTGTTAAATAAACAATGGCAGGTCCACCTCCTCCAATTACCTTCAGGGACTCGAGTCCAAGTGTCTGACTCACTCCCGTCATGAGAGGTGGTCCTGGGATTCCTGGCGCTCTCACAGACGTGAGTCAGCGTGTGAATGAGTGCACTGAGGCGGACGTGTGTGTCTCTTTACCTTCAGACAGTTTGGATGGACGATCTCGTTGCAGATGGAGCACTCCATCAGCATGAAGTTAAACTTGTCCTCCTCTTCCTCCAGCGTGTCTTCTTTCCCCGCCTCTTTACACACCACGCACACCGCCGTGTGAGGCAGGACCGGCTGCAGCGGCGAGAACAGGCAGGAAATCATCTCACCGAACTTTGACTCGAATATACCGACCCATGATGACAACACGACCGCGCACTTACCGCGATGCACTGCCTCATGATGCACGACTGCTTCATGCGCCCAGGTCCTCCGAACTTCTTCATGTCTTTGCAGAAGTGACACTCGCCACACTCGGTCCGCAGGCACGCCTCGCACTTTCTGCAGCGCGTCCTCCTGCGCCGCGCCCCAGACGAGCTGCGATTGGACGGCAGTTTAACAGCCGACGTCGTCCCCGCCATCTTCGGGGGCTTTGGCCGGTTGGCTGCCCGCTGTTGGAGGACAAAACGTGAGAAGAGTCAGACACAGGGCGGGAAAGAAACAGGCGGTCTGCAGGAAGTGACGAGTGCACACCTGAAAAAACTACAATCTTCCAGCTGATCAGCAGGTGAAAAGTGCTGATGCATGAGTCATCTGTTTCAGGTGCTCATCAGGGTCATGCATGAACATAAACATCTGATGACTCATGTGTTCACTTGAGTCATAACAGGCTGTTCCTGCAGCTACAAGATGATCTCGAAAGTCGAGTCATAATTATTTTCTTCTGTTTTCTTTTCTATGAGAATCGCCTCAAAGTTCAGAAGAACCAAAACAAAACGCCGCCAACGATTTCCTCCTTTTATTTCATGATTTTTAATGACGCATCATGACTCAGACTCACCATATCGGTTTAAATATCACTTTTTTTTTAGTAGTTCTCAGTTTTATAATCATCCAACAGGCTTAAAATCTCTCATCTTCCTTTCAATAAATCAACCTTCGTCCAGTAAACATCAACTTTGTTATTTCTGCTCCTGAACAAAACTCTGAAATTCTCTGTCGTCAAAAACATCCGGACAGAAACCATCGTGGTTACAGACTGACAGGGAGATTAAACTTCTTTCTCTTCCATAATAACTCATCTGCATCGTCTAAAATATGATATTAAACTGTAAAAATGACCTCGTTCATCATCGTTTACGGTGCTCTCATTTCTGACTGAACCAAACGTAGAAGAAGAGCGTCATCCAGGAAAAGGAAACCGACAAAAACGTCAGCAGAAGAAGTCCTCTGCTCAAACACACATTTACATAATCAACGTTTAACACCACAGGCTCACCTCTCCGTTCACACACTCTCTCTGCGTGTGTGTGTGTGTGTGTGTGTGTGTGTGTGTGTGTGTGTGTGTGTGTGTGTGTGTGTGTGTGTGTGTGACTCACAGAAGAAACCCGAGAGGCTGATTTACCTAATTTTACATATTTGTAAAAGCTCAGCACACGCCCACAGCTCAGCATCTAAGACCCCTAATTTTCCTCTTTTCTCTTTTTATTCTTCACATTTATTTTTAGGCTCTTCCCTGTTGCCATGGCAGGACCAGAACCCAACAGGAAAATAAGACAAATCATGGAGCATCACACCGATTCAGGAGGGGTTACCTTGGAAACACGTTCAGCAGAGCTGGTGGCAACAGTCTGAACAGAGGAGTGTAAGAGAAGGATAAAAATAGGCTCACATGAGGAGGTTATGATGGAGTAGGAGGCTGCGAGTGAGCGAGCGAGTGAGCGCTCCTCTCATGTCTTTATTCTCTCTCTGATTACTGCTTCATCGCTTGTACTTTAGTGTTTATATAACGCCTGGATAACAATGGCAGGGCGCTGTGAGCCGCTCTGACACAAACAGACACATCCAGCTACAAATCAGACTCCAGCTTTCTGTGACAGAGAATAAACACGTCCTGGAAGAACCAGCACTCTCCATTTCTAAGATTTCATTCGACCATTTTTGTTGTTTTTATTTCTGCTGGTAAATGTAATCAGAGCGGGTTTTAATCCCACTGACAGCTCCTCATCAATCTGTGTGAAAACCTGAGGGTGATGTAAAACATCTGCAGGGCGGCTGTGACCCTCAACTTTCAGGGTTTTTATTTTTTCAGCTGCTTTTTAATTTCCTGACGTCGCCTTATGAATTTTTTAATATCCTATCAACGAAGCAGGTGGTTGGCAGTTTTGTTTCTCCAACACCTGATGACATTTGATATCACGACGGTCGATATCATGTGTTACTCAGCACTGAGTTAAGTTGGTTATTTAGCCAGTAAGACAAGATTAATTTAACTAATCCTGAATCAGTGAAACACACTCATGGTTCTGCAAACTGTCGACTATTTGTGGATGTTTTTGTCATGTTGGATTTTCCTTTTTTGTGACGACCGTTCTTTAAAGATGCTGTATAAATACATTTTATCATCATTTATGTCAGAGGAAAAACACCGAAGTGCTTTATTTATTCATAAAAGATAACCATTTTTTCACCAGCACTTAGCTGCTTTAAAATACACACATACAGGAATATCTACTTTCATTTTTGCGTCTCGAAACTTTCTCATTATCTCCAAGTTTTTAAAAGCAGGAACAAGTGAAAGTACACGGCTGGCTGCAGAAAACAGCTGATCACCCTAAAATAGTCTCTCATTGTTTCTTAAATCTTTTCATTCACTCGGAAAGTTTCATTTTGTCCAAGTAAAAAAAAACAAGCTTATTTAAAACCATGTGACTACAAAGATTTGAACGCATGAAACTGACAAACTTTGTTTTTTTTTCACCTTCCTTATCCGCCTGATAAGAATAAAGCGATCTGAGGCTAAAGAAACCGCAGCGGCCGACATCAGCTGACCCTCTTTTACTGTAACTCTGTTCAGTAATATGTCAGGAATTTGGGATTGGTTGCTGAGGCCTGTGAACAAAAACATGGCCTATATTCTTCTGAGTCAGCTTCAGCGTGGATTTCAGAGGGAGGAAAAGAGTCAGGAGGTTCATGGTTTACTGCTCGTGTACAGTGGATCTTCACACATGCCGGGAATACTAGTGAACAGTGTGTCACAACAGACCAGAGCGAACACTTTCTCATGAACTGTTGGTGTAAATATTGTGTAAGCAGAAGGAGCGGGCTCTTATGTCAGCACTTCTCAGATTTCTCTTGTGCAATATCTCTCTCCAGCCTTGTTAGAAAGCATCAAATTTGAGCTTAGTGGGAAGAGATTAAAACAAGGAAGACAGATGAACACAACAATAAGAGTGCAGTCAGTTTAGCTGGGGGGTTTGAGGGGTCAGTCTGGGACCAACTGGACAGCCAAGCAGCAGAAGTAGAGCCCCCCTTATTGTTCCCTCTCCCATCCCCCTCCTCCAGAGATCTGTCCAGACTAAATAACAATCACACACAAGTTTCTGTAAAGGAAATGTAAAGGAAGTGAGGGGAAATTCATCAGAGGAGAGGACGTGTTAGATTAAGGGCACATGTGTAAATCTAAGCTGAAAGAGAAACTGTTTAAACTGAGAGAAGTCCGGATTACAGACACTTTTATCCATGAATATAACTGGGTTTCAGTGTTAGGTGATAGGATGCTGTCTGTATGAAAATGGGTCAGTTGTGAGGACGTAAAGATGTCCAAGGTGGAGAGGACACGGTGTGTTTGTACAGTCAGCGTGTATCAATACTTGAATTCAGCCCAAGTCTGTTTAACTCTGTGTACTGATCAATCTACAAAGTTTAACGCTCTTAAATGATATTAACTGAAAATTAAGTTTTAAAAAGACACTATTCTGCTTTAAATTTGACCTGGAAGCAAGAAGAGCGGCTAAACACCCCGAGGTAACCTGAAGCAGCTGAAGAGAAAAAAACAGCACTCCGAGCATAAAAGCCGAATATCCCGCAGCAGATTGACATTTAAACTACACACGAACACATCAGCCGTCATATTAAAGTGAGATCTCTGACCTGCTCCGACTCTGAATCATATTCCTCATCGTCTCCGCTCAATGACAAGGCCATGGCTCCTCTGTCTCATCGTTTGTGAGCAGCAGAGAAAACTAACATGGCTGAACAAGGATCCTACAGCTCCCCCTCCTTCACAGGCTGCTGCTGTTAGCAATGTTAGCTGTGAGGCGTTCACGAAACCTGGGGGAAAATAAACTCTCAATGTCCGCAGTATAGATCGGGTTAATAAAGCAAAATCTCAAAACGAGTAAAGACGCAAAAAATAAACACTTGTATTCACTTATAATATGAATTATTACGTAGATTGATGAATTCGGATTAAAATTCGAGTAAATATGACAATTTACCGGATTTACACATCCGCTGACGCTGTATTTAACGAGTGTTATAAATGCAGCATAGATGCTAATAGCATGGCTAACAGGATAGCTAACAAGAGAAGCAGGAAGTACAAAAGAGTATTCACTCCAACGCATCTCCGTCTTCGCTACTTATTTTTAACGACTGAAAACGTGGTTTAAGTTCCTGAAACCTTAATTTCACTCAGTAAATCTAAAAATAAAGGGAATAAAATGTTTTATAAATGTCTGATAGCAGCACCACAGGCCTCTGTGTTCAATACTTTAGTACTTTAGTAAATTTTTAGATAGCCAACAGATAAAATTTATTGTGGTTTAAAAACAAAGCATGACTTCAAATATAATTTTTACTTCTAAAAACCCTTTTTTGTTTGAAACTGCTGCAGTGAACTCACAGTTTTGTGAAATGAGGATGTGCAGAGTCAGTGTCAGAGCTTTAGCTTGTTTCCTATTGGAGATATTGAGTGCGTTACAATTGCCCCCAATCTCCCCTACTCAGTTTGGGTACAGAAGTCCAGGGATGTAAACTTAAATCCTTATATTTCAGGTTCTCTCTTAACAGAAGTTCTTTTTTTTCTGGTTGTTTTTGCATAATTTGGTGTTATGTGTTTGGACTCAGGACAACAGAGCTAGTCATTCCTCTGAAACTGAATAATCCTTTTTATTATACACGTTTGTACACAGTAATGAGTGAGTCTTTGTTGAAATAAAAAGGGAGGGACAGCAAATAAGTCAGTTTAACTTCTGGGTTTGTTTTACGGCTGATATGTTTGTAATTACATAATAAAAACTTTGACTCACCCAGAGTTTGTATGATATAACACTGATGATGTAAGAATGAATCATTATCATTATCACGCTTCTAAAGGGTTACAAATATCTCACACGTGAGGGCAATAATTCCCAAAGCTCTGAAGCTCTTATCAGGAGCAGACCTCACCTGTTGACACTCACACACCTGAACATGTGGAGACTGACTTCAGGCTGAAAACTTAACAACTACTGAATTCACATTTGACTGCTCTGGTACATGTATACTGATGTTATAGATGTTATAGACATTTTTATTTTCCCATCCTGAAGCCAGACTGTCTTTATTTAGCTTTTACATTCACTGACCTTTTTAATTTTCTTCACAGTTTCATCATATTTAGAGCGAGGGATGATTTTTAGGGGAACATAGTTTGGAGATTATGTAATCTGTTTAAAACTGACGTAACTTTGTACCAGAGATGATGAAAGACTAAACACTACAGGGTTTCTCTGTGTGAAATAAACATAAAATGTCACACTCAGTCTCATCACTTAATACATTTAGGTAAAATAGTTTAAAAAAACATGCAACCTACAAGAAGATAGAGGGGATACGTTTGACAAAACATGATAAACCCTGAACTGAATTACCTTAAAAATGTGAGCCCATAGACACTGGCTGGTGTACAAAACCTCACAGTACAAACAAAAGTATGATCTTGTTTACCAATCTATTTATTTTACTGTAGTCTTTAGTCGATACTCATTTTATGACCATGTAATATAGTTGTAATTCTTGATGTGCTGCGTTTCATACTCCTGTGTTTTTTTCATTATATATACATGTAAATATATAAACATGTTTTTCTTTTCATTTAATTGTTCGTTGAAAATTAATAAACATATTTCAAAAAAAAAACATGCAACCACCAATCTAATATTTTGCATGATTTTGAAAAGAATTTTATTTTAAAATTCTCAAAGCTAGAATCTGAGAGTGTTTAAAAAAGTCAAAATATCTTAGTGTTTATTTCTGTGTTGGATTTTCCAAAAGTTCCTTACTCTGAAAAGGTTCCCTAATTACAGAATCACCCACATGTCATTACTTCAGTACACTAACACTTTTATTAACCTGTTTTTCTTTTTTCTTTTGCTCTGAATTCATCCTAAAACAAACTCTGAGTTTTTTTGTAAGCATGTTTAATTTTGACAGTCCAGTTAAATCTGCACTGAAAATTAATGAATAGGTCATATTAAAGATCTTAATGAGGAGTGGTCCTCTACCGCCGCCTACAGGCGACCTGCAGCAGTGCCCTCTGAGAGCGTTGGATTGTGGGTATGAGGAGTTTCCTGACTGACTCTGACAGACACTCAGCTGTTACAGGAAAGTTTTGACACTCTCGGACCTCTCGCTCTCTCTCTGTTCGGAAACTGTTCGGGTAAATGTCGGACTTCTTCGGAACTAAATCTTCTCCGAGTGATTTTCTTCTCTTTACTTCATCGAGTTTCAACATCTGAACCCTCTCGGTTTTTAACTTGGGGAACTTTTTTAGTTGTTTTTTAATCCTCCTCTCCTCACACTCGGACCCTCGGATCGGCTCTCAGGATGAGTCTGAACGAACACTCCATGCAGGCTCTGTCGTGGAGGAAACTCTATCTGAGCCGAGCCAAACTCAAAGCCACCAGCCGAACTTCAGCTCTGCTGTCCGGGTTCGCGATGGTGAGGACAACTTTGGCTTCCTCTCTCTCTCTCTCTCTCTCTCTCTGTTTACTGCATGAATGCATACACCCCTCTTGCTGCAGCAGCGCAGGCCGTGGACAGCAGCTGTAAATATTAGTGACGCACCTTCACTTTCTGCAGGAGCTGACCCTGTTCAGACCCCCCAGGACCACCATCCTCTCTCATTTTCAGCCTTAAAAACTATCAGGGTTCTTATTTCCGCAGGGTGGTGCTGTGATCGGGGCACGATAAAGGTCACGGCAGAGAGAGATCATCCCAGTTTAACTCTGCACACAGAAGAAGAAGAAGAGAAATCTCATGATACAATAGAGCATTCATAAGGGATCAACAGTTAATATAAAGAGAGTTTACTTACACACCTTTGAGTAATCCAGGTTTATCTTCAGTCTGAACAAACAGAAGCAGACCTGCTGCTCCTCCATTCAGTTTCCTCATGAATCAGTTACTCTGGTTTTACTCTGAAAGAGCTGAGAAAGATCCACATTCATTCACTCAGGGTATTTGTGACACTATTTAAAATAAAATGTTTTTTTTTTGTTATCATGACTGAATTTACAGTTACAGGAAAGTTATTGAGTTTTATAATGTTATATCAGAAGGAGGTGTGTCATCTTTCCAAACTTTAGAGAAGATGTGAGAGGAGGAACTGGGGATAGTTTTTAAAGAAAACACTTAAACAAATGTGAAAAAAACACATTTTCCTTTCACTAGTAATAAAATCAGAAAAGCTCATTTCAAATTTATTCACAAACTGTTTTTAACTCCAATGAAAAGACATAAAATCTCAAAGCAGATCTCTTCAAAATTTGTATTTTATTTTGCATTCGGAAAAAACAGAATTCACAAAACAGCTGGAGTTACAGAGCAGGACACTGAGACCACTAAAGACAAAGAAGTCCCTTAAACGGCTCAAACGCTGAATCCAGACAACTCTCAAGACTCACTTTAAAGCTACTGTAAGGAACTTTCAGTTTCGTCTCATCGCTGATGGCGGTTTTTGTTTATGTGATAAAAAAGCATCAGTACAGGTTTCAGTCTGTTTGATTAACGTGAAAAACTTCACAGGAGCTTTAAGTTGTAGGTCGTGACGTTTTTCATGTCTGGTCTGCAGGTCGCCATGGTGGAGGTACAGCTGGAGTCAGATTACACGTATCCTCCCGGGCTTCTGATAGCCTTCAGCGCCTGCACCACGGTTCTGGTTGCTGTCCACCTCTTCGCCCTCATGATCAGCACCTGCATCCTCCCGAACCTGGAGGCCGTCAGCAACGTCCACAACCTCAACTCGGTCAACGAGTCTCCCCACGAGCGCATGCACCGCCACATCGAGCTGGCCTGGGCCTTCTCCACGGTCATCGGCACCCTCCTCTTCCTCACTGAGGTGATGCTTCTGTGCTGGGTCAAGTTCTTACCCCTCCAAAAGAACACGGAGGCAAAGAACGGCACCATCAGTTCAGGCGAGGCCGCCGCCATCGCCTCCACCTGCATCATGGTGCCGTTTGGAATTGTCTTCATCGTGTTCGCCGTGCACTTTTACCGCACGCTCGTCAGCCACAAAACGGACCGGCAGATCCGGGAGCTGGAGCAGGTTATCCGGCTGCAGAATCAGCTGGACCACCGGGCCGAGAACGACGAGCTGAAGGCTGCGGCCCACTTCCCCTGATCAGAGCGAGATTCAGAGGACATTCAGCGGGGCTTTTATTGTGAAATCCTGCATAGAAGCTTTATTTTGTATCTTTATGGGAGTGTTACAGTTTTCAAACCACTTTTGGATAATGCATGTTCACAAACCGTCTTTTTGGAGCTGTGATTTAGAAGAGGAAAAGAATCGACTGTTTACGTAGAGGAAACTTTAATCATGTTTTGACGTGTTTTAGTTTGTCCTCTGGGACGTGACTGTTTCAGCCTTTTAAGGAAGAAAATCTGGGTCAGATTTCAAAGCAGAGATGGACTATCATAGGGTTAAAAAAACACAGTGAGTATGTTAAAGGTTAATAAGACCCAACAGTGCAGAAACTCACCGGTTATTTCTTTAAAGTAGAAACAAACAAAGTCTGGTTCAGTCCGGTTTGAAATAAGGATGCAGCCTAATGAATGTATTTAGCTGGTTAAAGCTCCAGTAAGGAACTTAAAGGTTGTCTTGATTCTGGCGCCCCCTGTGGACAAATGGTTATCTCTCATTTCTTCACTGATTTTGACACAAACATGTAAATTCACATTTTAAAACCCTCATGACACCCCACCCCCAACCTGTGATTACAGATGTCAGAGAAAATAACAAAGACATTTGTTGGTCATACAGACGTCAGCAGAGATTTCACTCAGTTTAGTTTTATATGTATATATACATACACACACACACACATATATATATACATATATATATTAATATATATGTGTATATATACATATACATACATATATTGTTTCATGAGTCTTGTTAAAATTAGACATTCAAATATCAGATATTCATATTGAAGCTGTGAACGGTCTGATCATGATATTATTATCACTTAACGCATGCTTTAAATTTAAAAGATTTTCACAAATGAATTTAAAACTTTTGCACTGAGGGGTTTTAGGGACTTTTTAAAAACAGGTTTTGCTTTTATCCGATGTTTTCTCAGTTTGAAGAAAATGGACTCTCAGTTTTTTTGCGATTGCATTGAAGTTTTCTTTGAACAGTAATCCTCATTTTAAGTGCTTTAAAAAAATTTAAGCTCAGAACAAATAATGAAATATTGTTATAGAAACAGAAGTTACAAAACGATGTTAATTTTTTTTTTGCATTCATGTGAATCTGAAGGAAGAAAACACTGAAACCAAAGCGTCTTTAAAGCTTCTATGAGGATCTTATGGTTACTGTCAGTTTTGGCGCCCCCTGTGGACAGAGTGGTATCCCTGTTCACTGATTTAGTCTCAAACATGTTAAACATTTTAATGGTTACTAGTATCGTACATTTGGAAACTCTGGAGCAGAAATTATCAGTTTTTCTGGTTATTTTGTCAACTGATGTTTGAGTCTAAGACTCATTTTTCCTCTTTCACCCTCAAACCCACGGGATGTGTGTGTGCGTGCATGTGTGCGTGCGCCCCCTCACACAGCTCTTAACGGCGTGCACTCTCAGATGTGACAATCTGGAAAGGTTGAGCTCATGAATCCTGAGAGTTTGAGGGATCAGAGAAGTCGTCCTCCTCTGGAATCATCCTTCTTTCTTATTTCTTGTTTCTTTTGCATAAAACAATCACTAGTTTTTAAGATGCACTGTTAGCATGATGTTACAAAGCATGCCTATAAAAGAAATGTTGTGTTTTCAGATCTTATATTTTGTCTCTTTTGTAGTATAAAAGTCTCAGCATGTTAACATGTTGTTTTGGTTACACTTTGCCAAAGTTTAAAGTTGTTTGTGTGGATTTTGTTGTTAGTTCTCGTTGTCCTGCGGCACATCGCTCTGAAGTTTGACTTTTACCTCTTTAGCTTTGCTTTAACTTTGGTGTGAGAGAGTCAGTGTACCTGAAACGTGCACATTTTTTAGATATGGAAAACAATTTTTGATAAAAATACAAACTGTCACATGATGATAACCTTCAGGCCGACACAAACAGCACTGTGGTGGTTATCAAATATTACATTTGTGTCTCTCTCTGTCTTTTTATTTTCCAGCCTCTGACTTTTTGTTTCAGACTTTTCAGGAAAATGTTTCAGTTCATGATGTTACACTCTGTAAACTTCTGATAGGACCTGTATCCTTCATCACAATGCAAAATGAGAGAGGTGTCCGTGGTTCATTTTCTGTGGTTTATTTATTTACTCTCATCTGTGTTACTGTGTAAAAAAGTTCCCCTGCTTCACTCCTTCAAAACGTGAATTTTCTCGCTGCTCTGTGTGTGAACTGTTGCTCATGTACGTTGTTGGCAGCTCACGAAGCTGCGGCTTTGTCACCAGGAAGTTAATTTTGTGGTTTGAGAATAAAAGACATGAGATGATTTTTGAATTATTGTTTTTTTTTTACTTCTATTTTTCCCTGATGAACACGAGTTAAAAACAGAGGAGGAAATATTTTAATATGATATCACTCAGAGTGACGTCTTCAGGAAATCCACACAGGAAATGTGTCCAAACATGAGTGAGCGCAGTCTGCAGTCAGACATTCAGAGCCACGAACAAACAATTCAACAAACTACAACTAACTACAAAAAACTCCAATAATTCCAACAAAGTCAACTTGGGGGTTTACTAGTCAACTTCTAGTAAACTCCCAACAAACTCCAATAACTCCCACAAACAGAGCAGTCTGTTTGGCTCGACTGTTTCCACATTATCTTGTTATTCTGGTACGATGACGTTTTCTTGACTTCTCTCTTTCAGAGGTTAATTTTGCAGCTTCGGGAAACACTTGAGGAAACACTTGAGGACGGTGTAAATGTGCAGAGATGCAGCCGTGTTTCTCCTCCTCTACTTCTTAAATTAAAGATACTTTACAGTCAAACAGAAGAGACTCATTCCTGGATGAAAATGTCTGTTTTTATCCTCTGATGCTTTAATAAAAACATTTAATTCAGTCTAGTTTGTGCCCTAAAATGCTGCTTTAACAGCTGAGAGTCCATCCCTCTGGCTGCTGTTTCCTCCTGATCCTCTCGGGGACATGTTTAGTTTTTCTGAGATGGATGAGGAAGGATGATTCCAGTGTTTTCAGGACCTGGCAGAATATTTACTGAAGAGATAATCCAGAGATGAACAGAGACGAGGCTGCAATCGTAGACCCTGAAACAAACCTTCAAACCCTCTCCTTTTTCTCAGCAACTCAACTCTTAATCTGAACGTTTAAAACTTTGAAAGGTTTAGACTTTCACACGAGTATGAAGCACAAAAATAAAACACACAATCATACAGACTTCTGTGTCCATCTGTGCAAAGATCAGCCAGAACATGAAGATAACCTGCCTGATATTTGGGTCTCTGAACAGAGAGTTAGTGATTCAGCTAACTGATACTACGATCAAATCAAATCAAATCAAATAAAAACAAATCAAATCAATTTGATCAACTTCCACTTTTTCATAAACAACTTTTCAACACAAAATAATCATCACATCAGACCAGATCTGAACGTGACACACCTCCTCAGGGTTTAATTGTAATAAACAATGAGACTGCCAACCCCGGTCTCCCCTATTATATCTCCCAGGTAATCATAATTTATACAATTACTGACTAAACCAATGGTTGTTGCCTGTCTGATATTTTATTATATGAAAGCTATTAGGGGAACATATTGCATTCACTTAAAAGAAAAAATCACTCTGTTTTTATCTGAATTAATGAGATAATTTCGTCATTAATTCAGACAAAAATAGAGCAGATTTTTTACAGTAGTCTTCCAAAGATTCTGCTGTATTATCAAAAAATCTTAGAGTTTATTTTCATCATAAAAACTGAATGAATTTTATCTCAGAAGTTTTATCTCAGAAGTTTGTGTGTTTGTTTTAATTATTATTATTTTTTCTTACATTTTTTTTATTATTTATTTATTCATTAATTTACGTTTTTAAGTTTCTAAATGAATTTCTGGTCATAGACTCACCTGTTGTTTCATAATCATGTCTTATCTGCTCCTGGTTGATTCACTTTTACTCCCATTTCGTGTCCTTCCGCCTCACTCAGGGAACTTTATCTCCTCTCCTCCCGCAGGCGGATGGATACAGGAGCCGCCAACCTGGGCGAAGCAGCTGCGAAGAGACGGACAAAAACACCATCAACCTTTTCACAATGTTGTTCCATCAGAGGATCAAACTTTGTTTCAGGTGAAGGAGATCAGATCCGGTTTGTTTTTGAGTATTTGAACGTGTTTCTTTCTTATTTTCAGGTGTGTTTTGAAGCAGGTTACGGGAACAGGTGATGCTCTCCATCACCTGTCGGGGTGTGTTAACCTCCCGTGGACTGATGTCTGTTATCAGGGCGGAAATAACCGTGTTTTTTGGTTGTTTTGTTGTGTTTGTTTTTCAGGTTTTGACTAATGTGATGGAAATCAACAGTCAAACTTCTGAGAGAGAGACCCCACCTCAGAACTGGACGAGCTGTAAACTGATTATCGATCCCGCATTAACAAAAGGACTCTACAAAGTCTACCGATATGATGGACAATATCACAACTTACCTGTAAGAACTTTTACATATTCATTTATTATCTGTACTGAACGGAAAATGACCTCCTACATGAACATCCAGCTCACAGAGAGCAGGTTTTCCATGACTCTGAAGGATGTTGTTTACCTGAACAGGTGAAGGACTTGGGTCTGTTTCCTGTGGAGACAGTCAGAGATCCTCGGATCTGCCGCCTGTGGAGCAAATACAACAAAACTGACCTTTGTGTTCCTAAATTTAAGGTAATCTGTGATTCTTCTCTTTATTTATGTAAACCTTTTTAATCTCACTCTGCAGTTACAGGCTCCAACAGAAATAATCCTGATTATAAATCTGACTTTATCACTTTTTTATCAACAGGAAGATTCACCTTTATTTAATACAGACACTGGAAAATGTTGTTTTATGGAAACTCTATTCTTATTTCAAATCTAATCTCAGCAGTAGTATTTTTTAAAAAGTAGATCCAGGTTCTACTTTCACCAACCCTCTGTAGACCTTAGTGGACCCAGCAGACCAGGTTCTGGAGTCAGACAGTCCCATTCTTGATAGAGGATTTCAGCTGCTCAACAGTTCAGGGTCTCTTAAAGGGATAGTCCAATGTGATTAATTTAGGGTCAAACACACCGTAACACCAGTCCATTACGGACTACAGCGGGGTGCCGCAGCTCAAGGAAGAACATTTATGATAATAAACGATCATCCTGCGGTCGTTACTAAAGTTGGTATAACTAGAGAATCAAGCGGTCGGCAACATTCATCTCTGGAGGGGGGGTCTGACTCGGTGTTACGGTGTGTTTTTGTTGGGTCTCAAACCTGCAACAAGTGACTCAAACACAAAGAAGAGAAAGACAGCGGTATTAGATTTCTTACTCGCGAGGAGAACGGACAGAGATACGTTCAGTTACGATCTCCAACCGCTCCGAAGCGTATCTTGTCGTCTCCTCTCTTTTTATTATCCTCAGGGTGGTCCCTAGTTACAAAACGCTGCATGCACTAAAGGGTGGGGAGACAGTCTTGCAGCTGCGCGGTACCTTACATCACTCAGAATCATAAACAAGCAGACAATCTGTGAGGGTGAGGTGACCTTGACATTTCACAATCTCCTTCTCATGGTAGGAGCGGTTCCTCCTCCACGATCGCTCCCACGTCTCACAGCGGAGGTTAGAAAACACATACCTGCTAATTGGAGAAACAAGATCAGAGAAGTTAGAAAACACTCAGGAGTACTTTCTCATCTGTGACAAGAGGTCAAAGAAGTTCATAGTTGTAGGAAACTTTTTAAGACTATTGGTAATTTCGATATACATTTATACACATTATTCTGACAGTTTTACGCCAGAATATCCCTTTAAGTTTGTGTTTTTGGGGTCATGATGCTCCAAATATTTCCAAAGAGGGACAGGTCAGACCGCATCATCTTCTCAGTATCTTCTCGCCGCTCTTGAAGCTCGATGGTGAAGGTTCTCCGGTTTACCGATGTTTCAGAGTTTGAAGGACGATCGTGTTCACGTCCGTTTCCCTCCGTCCTCTCAGGTCGACCAGTGGTACGTCGGTCCTGTTCCTCCCAAAGAAGTGACATTTTCCCGGCTGAATGACAACGTGAAGGAGGCCTTTCTCTCCGACATGTGCAACAAACACGGAAATGTGGAGGAGGTGGAGATATTTTACAGCCCGAAGAAGAGGAAGCACCTGGGGTTGGCGAAGGTGGTGTTCGACACGGTGAGGGCGGCGAAAGAAGCCGTTCAGCACCTTCATCAGACGTCAGTGATGGGGAACATCATTCATGTGGAGGTCGACCCCAAAGGTGACTCTGGTTTCCTGTTTATTACAGCAGAAATGAAGCGGTCGTGATCGACTATAACCTGATCTTTCCTCAGGAGAAAACCGGGCCAGATATCTCCAACTCCTCCTCCACGGCCTCTACACCCCCTGGACGTTACCGGTGGGCAGCAGTGAGGCGGCTCTGCAGACCCTCATCGACCGCTTTGTGGTAAATTATAAATTATTAAATTATTAAAATTAAAACTGATTTTAAACGATCTATGACATTTTTTATTTTCTAAATTCATGTTGAAGATTGTCTGTTTTTAAGAGCGTGATTTTTCTGACGTGCTGAAGTTACATCTGTGTTTATCAATAATAATATTTACACCTTTTTCCTTTATTGTCCCTCTAATAGATCAGCACAGCCAATCAGAGACCAGGAAGCTTCCTCAGCCCCTCCAGCATCTCCACGCCGCTCTCTCTGGACACGTCCTTCTCAAGCGTGTGGCAGGAAACACCTTACAGTTTTGGCCTCACGCCACGATCTCAGGGAACCCCCCGCACTCCCTGTTTCTCCGCCACTCCTCTCTCCCAGGACTCCTGCTACTCCAGTCTGCAAGCTACTCCAATCCTCCAGGGGGAGCCCTCCACCTTCAGTGTTCACAACCCTCAACGACGAGAGCTCTGCCATCGAAAACCCCCGTGGTTCCCCAGGGGGTCCGCTGAAGTCTCAGATGTCAACTTCATCTTGAAACATTGGCAACCGCAGCTAACGAGGAAGCAGGATGAGAGACGGTCACCTCAGGAGACTTCAGAGTCTCTGTTTGAGGTTATTTCTCCTCATGAGGAGTCCGGAGAAGTTCTCACAGCCTCAGAGTCCAGGTCTTTACAGTTGAACCGCGGCTCCTTGAGCATCTTGAGTGTTAATTTTACAGCCAATCAGCAGACAGCAGATAAAGAGCGTGCTTATATAACAGACTTCTCTCCACCTGCTGAGAACTTCTTCCCCAGCAGCCCCCAGCCTCAGTTAGAGAGTTTGGACTCTCGTATTGAAAGTTTGCTCTTAAACAGCCGGAGACCCGACCCCTCAGTCTTAGACAGAGAGGCTCTGGGGGGTGACGGAGACTCTGAGGACAGCCCAGCGTCCCCCTGCCCCATGAGTGCCTCCCCCGTGTCAGACGGCTCACTCGACTGCACTCCGACTCTTTACGGATCCCGTGAAACCGTCCGTCAGCTCTCCTGCGGCGATCTGGTGGATGTCAGTCCAAAATGGTTCGCTGAAGATGAAGACGATGAAACCGCAGAGGCTGTCGCATTTCTCACAAGAACCTCCCGCTCTCCCAGTCCTTCTGGATTTATTCATTTTGAGAGGAGAGCTGAGGAGAACGAAGAAAAGGTGCGGTCAGGGTCACGTCTCCTCCAGGTGATCTCCTCCAGATCTTTAAATCCATCATTATATAGGAGTAACACTGACATACTGTAGATCCTCAAACAAAGAGATCCAGGTCTTCAGTCATGAGGATCATCAGGATAAAAACAGACTCTCTGTTTCTGACTGAAGCTGAAAACCAGATCCACGGTGAAGCTCGAGGATCTGACCCTCTGAGCTCTGAATCAGACCGTATCTCTCTGGTTCAGTTTCATGGATCCCCTCCTCTCTCTGTAGTTCAGTATGAAGAGTGATGATCTCTCAGACTGATGAAATCTGAAAATAAAGGCCTGCTTCATTTACAGGCCTGGTGCTTAAAGCAGTAAAATCAGATAAAAGTTGAGCCTCTATTTGAGGATTTACGGTATTTATTTTAAAAAGTATGTTGTGTTGTTAGTAACGTCCGTTTTCTGTCTAATTCAGGAGCGTCACGTAGAAAATCAGGGTCTGTCTGAGGCGCTGACTCCCACTGTAAAGCGCCCTCCTCCTCCTCAGCCTCCGCCTCCTTCTCTCCATGCTCCACCTCCTTCTCTCCATGCCCCGCCTACCATCACACCTGAATCCACCCGTCCACCAGTCCCCCCTTTCCCTTTCCCCGTCCCCCCACGCCTCCCTAATGGGACCATCCCCATCCCACCTCCCGGCTGGATCCCTCCTCCTGGTCATCACATCTCCATTCCTCCTCCTCCTCCTTCAGTGCCCCTCCCACCTACGTTTCTCGGACCCCCTCCACCTTTGATTCCCCTTCCTGTGCCCCTCTTCCCCTTACCTGTGCATCCTGCAGGTGTTCCTCCACGGCCAGGTGTCACGCCTTTACCCTTCCCCCTCCCTCCCTGGCCCGCGCCGCCCTTCCCCAGGTTTAACCCCTTTGTG